GGCAAAATAATTAAAGATAAAAAAACAAAAACAATTTTTTTAAGCAAAATTACTAAACATAAATTTAGTGGATTTAGTAAATGAAATCTTAACAAAACTTTGTTGCTAATTATACTAAGGTTGCACTAGTAAAGTTATTAGTTATCGTAGCTCATTAGAAAAAATTGTGTAGAAATATTATCGAATGTAATTATTTGAATAACATTTTGTCGTATATTTTACTTAAATTTTCTGAATCAGTTTATTTAAAGGTTTTTTTGTGTTATTAATATGTATTATCCCTAAAATTTCAGTTACTATATTGAGTGATCTAAAAAATGTCGGTTCAACCAGATCAAGCATGGGTCTACATTTCTTAATTAGAAATAATTTTTATTTTGCTTCAAAAAAATACTTTTTGTTTTTTATCTTTAATTATTTTGCCCATCATGGTCTAATTTTACATTTTCGTTACAACGGTCTTTACAAAACACCTTTGAATGGAAACAATCTCTAGTTATACAAACATTCCATTGACAATTGGACTAATATTTCTTTAGAAAAGTTGTAAACCTTAAAAAGACCTACATTAAGGTTAATTTACTAATTAATAAAAATGCCAAGTTAGTTAATTCATGTTAGGCAGTTGTCAGTAATGTGTGCGCGTTGTGGACCATTTTAGTCCAAAATACAAGATCACTTCAACGATTATACTATAATTTCGACTGATTTAATGGATTTTTGTTAATTACAATAGTAAATTCGGCCGGAAAGGTTTTGGAGTCCTCAAAAATAAATTGTAAATTCAGCTGATTTGTACTTAGGTAGAGGCTGAAAGTAAAAACAGCATCGTAAGGGCCAAACGCGGATGATTAAAATGTTGTCACATACTCTCTTGTAATATGAGTATACATACAATAGATAATAACCCCTTGTGATAAGGGTAGGTGGTCTCTTAATTAGGTAATTTCATCTAACATCACATTACTATTGTATAAGTTTTTAAAATGTATAAGCAAAAAATGTATAAAAAAAATAAAAGTGCATTTTTCTCATAGTCTTTATCGTATCCTTTTTTGTTTTTTGTTTTATATGTCTGTAGTTGGAAGCTGTAGTCGACTGCTGTATTGACTTACGGTCTAGTCAACGAAATCTAAAATTTTTGGAATTTTATTTTGAATATAAACAAATAGTTGCATTTTACCTGTCAGGCTTTAGTTTCGTTGTTGTTTTTAAAGAAAAGGGAACTTTTCTGGTCGACGTTGTTTTTCTCATATTCGGTGAATGTTGGGACAGTACTGTTCCAATTTTTATCAATTCTCTTCCGTCTTCATTTCATCCATCTTATCTGTCTCAACTAATTTATCAAATCCAATAGAAATATGTGTAGAACAGAAATGTATTTTTTTAAAAATGGAATTCTGGTGCACTCTGAATATAAATATTACTTCGTAAAAAATATTGATACTCAATATATAAATATAAAAACAATGAATATACAGTATGGTACGTGTAATATTGTAACATATATATATATAAACAAAGTTTCCATACATATTGCAGATAATTAATCAACTAATCAATTGCAATGTAGTAAATATTTTCAGTTTATGTTTTCTCCATATTGATAAAACTATAATAATTGCTATTAAATTGCTATTTTTTTAGGTCAATGGTAATACTGGTGCTACAATAACATTTGAACAATTTTATAAGGAAAGCGTTAAACTTGCTATTGCCTTAAAAAAGATCGGCGTACAGAAAGGGGACGTGGTGTCAATCGTCAGTGAAAATTTGATTAACTATTGGATTCCCGTACTTGCTTCAGCCTATCTGGGGGCTACTGTGAACCCCCTTAATCCTATATATAGTGAAGGTAAATTTTCCAACATTTCCAAAATCAAAACTAATACGTATCTATTCTTTCGTTTTATTTTTTTTTTGACAGTGAAGTTAAGAATATTAGCATAAGAATTTTTTTATTTTAAACCACTGGTTCCCTCTGTAATAAAAACAAATAAAAAATCCCAAAAACTAGGTTTAGAACACGAAACATTAATTCCATTATCTTAAATACAGACTTGAATATTCATTATTTTGTTATCTTTGTTGTTTTTGTAAACATAATAAGGGAAGTTTTAACTCCCTCTCCCTCTGAGTTCACTTACGTAAAAGTGAAAAACCCCCTGGTTTGCTATTATTATGAAGATGCAGTCGAATCTATAGCACTAACTCTTTTCTAACTCGAATGTTTTTTGTTCCCTTCAGATAAGTACATACTTACGTATCGTTTTGCATTTACTGCAAACTCTTTAACTCGAATTTCTCCATCAGTCACAGCGATAACCAATGAGTCGAATTTTAAAATTTTTACTGCACATTCAGTATTATATTATGGAAAAATGTTAAGCAGAAATTTTCCTCAACTCGAATTTTCTCTACCTCAGTAGTCAATCCTAAGATTGTTTGGTCACACACTTCCATTCTTTCCTATCCTGAGCTAATCTTCACATTTCCCTAAAAAACTAAAACATCCCACATTCTTAACTATTTATGAACAGTAACCTAGACAAAAGTTTTTAATCTCTCTCCTCTCTCTCAGTCGTTCAGCGTCTCTGAGAGCGTCTCACACAGTCTATCACAGTCTCTCAGTTATTGCCTAGGTGTTTTTATGGATCTCTCGCAGTCTCTGTATGAGAGACTCGAACGATAAAATTGTTAATTCAGAGATTCGAGTCTCTCACGGAGAGACTGAATGAATAAAAGTGAAAAATTGAGAGACTCGAGTCTCTCGTAGAAAGACTGGGATCTCTCAAATATGTTAGAAAATTTTAGCCATGTCTATCGAGACACCACTCATTGAGAAATTCGAGTCTCTCGTTCAGAGACGCTAAACAGTTTTTTGACAGTCTCTCGACAGTCTCTCTCAACGACACCAGAGAGACTCGATGAGAGACGGAGACTCGAGTCTCGCTTTCAGAGACTCTGAGAGACTGAACATTTTTATCTGAGAAATTTAATCTAAATATACTTCTACTTCTCTTAACTCCTGTTTCTGCTTCTACTAATATGTATCTGATCAAACCTTCATGTCTAACAAGGTGTCTGTCCTACCAACCTATCTCGCCTATATCTTATTAACTTCCATAGTAACTTCTATTATCCTATTCATTCTAATAACTCCACGTTTCTAACCTTCTCTAATCACGGTATCCTCGCTTAAAGCTTTTAACTTTTCCTTCACGCCACCATCCATATTTCGCACCGTTCTCCAGACATACACTTTTAACCATCCCTTTCGAATTTTTGAATTAACCGTTCTCAAAAAGAAGAAGTGACTTCTTTTGTATTAAAGGCGACTCGACGCTGCGCTATCCTCTGTTTTATATCTCTATCACTCCATCTTGAATTGTCTGACTTCCTAGATACCGAAAATCAGCGACCATTATAAAATAAATATCTTTTGTAAAACTATACCTGTATGATGAATCTCGCAGTCCTGGCCTATACTATTCATTCATTTGTTCCAATAAAATAAATATCCCATAAAAAACAGATTCTTTTTTACTTAAAAGTGTCGCAATCGCAATAACGAGTAAGAACCCTTAAATCCAGATTCCAATTTTCCAACATACGTCAAAATGTAAACGAGACACATAGGTAGAAAGAAAAATAAACTTTTTATTGTATTCCTTTTAGTTTAGACAATTAACCAAGCAATAATTGTACGTATTGTAAGATTTGTTTTTTTTTTTAACAAGTGTAAATATTTACATAGGTGAAATGAGAAGAGCTCTGGACCAATCGAGGCCAACAGTAATATTTTGTTCGGAAAATGCGAAAGACGCAGTTGTCGGCCTTTATGAGCAACTCATTTACGTGAAGAGGGTTATTACTTTCAGTGAAACCACCCCTTTCACAGACTCGAAAACATCCTTACAATTTTTCAATGGTGTTGAAAATGACATTGACTCATTCGTTCCAACCAAAGTCAGCATGGACGACACTGCTTTTATCCTTTGTTCGTCGGGAACGACAGGATTCCCCAAAGGAGTCATGTTGACCCATAGGAGCCCCCGCCATTACTTAGCATGTATGAGGTAAGTTTATAACTCAAATGAGGGATAAAGAAATATGGGAACAGTACACAGTAGAAAATTGGAAAATAAATTAGAATCCTGATTAATTGATTGAAGCTTTCCCGATCATGGTCTTATCTAGTTCTGGCTTTCGGGATTATTTGTCGTCGTTTGGATATTTTTCTTCTTGATGTTTCGCCGACACGAATGGTTGGAATCTTCAGGGGTTCTGTTCTGACAATTGAATCAGTACACACCGCGTAAAGGTGTTTCTTCTTCAAAAGGCACCCCTCTTCTACGAAAACAAAAAAAATCGGTTGTCTGTAATTGAACGTGACAACGTCATAAGAAAATACTGATGGAATGGTTTCATTTTTCAAGAAAAAATTTTAATATTATTTGTTTGATAGATATTTTGTATGGATATAGAGAAGGAGGTAAATGGAAATGTATTATTGTATAGCAGCTGTCCACGCGGACACATCGCTCACTCAAGTAGGAGAGAGACAGATGTCGAACGCTGCCGAACGCGGAGGCCGATTGTGCCTCTTTGTCGCTCGTTCCGCGCTCTCGCTTGCACTTCAAGCCTTAAATGGAACGCCTCAGAGCGAGGTAACGCTGCATGAGTCATGTTTTTTCGTGCGTGCATCGAATTATAAGACGTTATCACGTCGAAAAAAACAGCTTTCGTCTGTATGAACAGAATCATTCATCAGAATAGAAGTTCTGAAGACATCAACCACTCGTGTCGGCGAAACGTCAAGAAGAAAAATTTCCGGACAACGGCCAATAAGCCCGAAATACAGCAGTTCATTCAAACTAGAAGCTCGTATTAAAGTAGTGGTGGACTAGAGGGGGTGGAGGTTGTGGTCCGGTACGAGCCTCTCTCTCTTCCTGGGGGGGGGAGGCAAATTTCTGAACGTCCTTTTTCTGAAGTCCCAAACAAAGCCAATATCTAAGAACCGGTGATATTTTGACGTAACAACCTAGGGTCGTTATTGAGGGCAGTTTAACATTTATTTCATGGTTGAATCATTTCTTTTTGGTTCTGATATTCGTAAACAGTTGATACTAAAATTCTCATCATCTGAAGGTTGACTTTCGGATTTGTTTTTTTCCATTTTCGTGGGTTTGTGTCGGTCCAATCACATATAATGCCAATATTTATAATGTTAGTTTCCATTTTAATCATTTTAAAAAATTCAAAATGACAGCCCCTTATTGGCGCCATGTTTTTAGGCCTCTTCCATTTGAGTGATCTTAATTGTTTATCCAACTTTTGAATACTTAATTATTTTTTTTAGTGATCCTCTATTTGGAACCATGTCCAAGGACTGTGTACGATTGATATGTCTCCCTCTTTACCACTTGATAGGGTGCATGCAGCAAGTACTTTCATTGTACTGTCAATCGCTTTCTGTTGTTCTATCTAAATTTAAACCTGACGTATTTTTACGATGTATACAAGAATACAGGGTGAACCGTATGCTAGTGGTTCCGACCCTCTGTATATTTCTCAGCAACAGCCCCTTGGTGGATAAGTATGATATCAGCAGTCTTGAGGAGATAAGCTGGGGAGGAGCTTCGATGTGCAAAGACATTGAAGCAATCGTTAAAAAAAGGTACACATTACGCATTATAATAAGAATAAAAACAGACAAGTGCGAGTTGTCCTCGCATTGAAAGGGTTCCGTCCAGTTTGCTTTTTTTAAATGTCTTATTGGACCCCAAAAATGATCCCCATGTTCAAAATTAATTTATTTACATTATGCGTGCGTGTTTGGATCACAGAAATTCATTCGTGTACTAAATTTCAACAGAATCGATCTAGTAGATTCGGAGAAAATTGACTGTGACACACGGACAGAGAGAGACACACGAGTGATCCTACAAAGGTTCTGTTCTTCATTCGGACGTACAGAACCCTAAAGAAGGTAAAAACTTAATCTGTCTGCGTGGCACACTTAAAAAAACAACAATATTTTTGCTGTATAGAAAGTTCAATGTAAAAAATCAAACTTTAAAATACGTAGGGGCTCTATTCTTTAATTTTATTTATTAATGGAAAATAATGGGTAAAATGAATACCTACTGATAATTTTTAGTCCATATTTTACTCCAAACATTTTGACTCAATATGCAATTATTTCATTTACTGTAAATAAACGGAAAGCAGTTTATAACTTTTGTTTTCAAAAATATTGCATTCGAATAGAAACGGATATCCTTCAAGAGGTGCAAGTCAAACCTGCACTGGGCCAACATTTTTTTAGGTATCTATTTACATATAGTATTAACTTCCCATTAGGAAGTTATTGTAATTGGGTCGAAAAGTGAAATCGGAATTTTCATTATATTTCCACGTTTTAACATATTAGTAGCATGCTAGCCAATTTTTTTGATGATGTGTGTATGTACGTACGTACGTACGTACGTACGTACGTACGTACGTACGTACGTACGTACGTACGTACGTACGTACGTACGTACGTACGTACGTACGTACGTACGTACGTACGTACGTACGTACGTACGTACGTACGTACGTACGTACGTACGTACGTACGTACGTACGTACGTACGTACGTACGTACGTACGTACGTACGTACGTACGTACGTACGTACGTACGTACGTACGTACGTACGTACGTACGTACGTACGTACGTACGTACGTACGTACGTACGTACGTACGTACGTACGTACGTACGTACGTACGTACGTACGTACGTACGTACGTACGTACGTACGTACGTACGTACGTACGTACGTACGTACGTACGTACGTACGTACGTACGTACGTACGTACGTACGTACGTACGTACGTACGTACGTACGTACGTACGTACGTACGTACGTACGTACGTACGTACGTACGTACGTACGTACGTACGTACGTACGTACGTACGTACGTACGTACGTACGTACGTACGTACGTACGTACGTACGTACGTACGTACGTACGTACGTACGTACGTACGTACGTACGTACGTACGTACGTACGTACGTACGTACGTACGTACGTACGTACGTACGTACGTACGTACGTACGTACGTACGTACGTACGTACGTACGTACGTACGTACGTACGTACGTACGTACGTACGTACGTACGTACGTACGTACGTACGTACGTACGTACGTACGTACGTACGTACGTACGTACGTACGTACGTACGTACGTACGTACGTACGTACGTACGTATGTACGTACGTTCGTATGTCAGCATTTTTTTCGTTTTCGATATCTCAAGAACGGATTGAGATATCGCCCTCAACCAAAATTTTTTCGAAAGATATTATCATAATGAAGATCTGAAAGAAATTTGAACGAAATCGGTCAAGCCGTTTTTTTTTTATAAAAAAAAAACGAATTAATTACAAACAATTTAATTAAAATACGTTCTAATCTAATCACAACAATGAAGTTACGGAATCAATAATAACTGTATTATCTAATGGGAAGTTAGTCGTATTAGCACCGACCAAAGCGTGCTCAGACCAATTTTTTAGATTTTGCTTTTGATTGAGATTAAGGAAAAATATTCTACCGTTTATGAGAAATATTTTTCTTCTTTGTATTTGTATGTAGATTAAATTTAAAACAAGTCCGTCAAGCTTATGGAACTACAGAGGTTGGTTCTGCGTGCACCATACAAGTAGACCTCAATAAATCTGGAAGCGCCGGTTGCTTATGCTACGATTTCATGGGAAAAGTGTGTGACCCCGAAAAGGACACCCTCTTGGGACCTGGAAAAGTCGGCGAGCTCAGGTTCAAAGGTCCTTCGGTTATGAAGGGATACATTAGAAATCCCGAAGCGACTGCCGAATCCTTTGACGCCGACGGATTTTTAAAAACTGGAGACGCTGGCTATTACGACGAAGATGGATATTTCTATATCGTGGACAGATTTAAAGAACTTATTAAATACAAAGCATTTCAGGTAAGGGACTGTCCATAAACTATAGCGATTTTCACTAATTCTTTTTCCACCCCTTTCTATCATACTTACTGGTTTTCCTTGAAACCCGATCCTAATACAAGGTGATCTTTTAACATTTTTGGAATGAATTTTTCAATGAAATTTTATTTTTTTATTCAAAACACTGAAATAGTAAATGTCAGAATAAACCATTTTTGTAAGCTGTCTTAACATATGAAATACACATTTCTTCATTTTCGTCGACAATCCACCGAATCATCATAATAAGGTTGTTAGTCCTAAGACTGGTTGGACACGCACCTCCACACTTTCCTATACTGAGCTAATCTTCCTAAATTTCCCTAAAACTAGAACAACCCACATCCTTAACTATTTGCGAAAAGTTATCTAAACTAGGTCTACCTCTACCCTTCCTAACTCCCGTTCCTGCCTCTAATATGTGTCTATACTAGACTTTCATGTCTAAGAAGATGTTCTACCAACCTATCTCGTCTTCCGTTCTCCTATTCTTCCTAATACCTCCTCATTTCTAACCTTCTCTATCCACGGTATCCTTATCATTCGCCTATAACACCACACTTCGAACGCTTTTCTTTTTCTTTTCTGCCGCACCCACTGTCCATGTTTCGCACCCGTACAGTGCCGCGCTCCGAACACATACCTTTGTCCACCAAATATCTTCATTTTTTTTAACAGTAAAAGCCACGTTTTACTATCTTTTTTTTATCAGTTCATAACAACTTTTTATGTTACATTAATTTATGATCTCACTTAGGCTGTTTCTTTACTGGTAATATTAAATCAAACAATATATAGTTCACGCTTATATGAATTATTAAAGCAATCCCAAGCATTATCGTTAAAACATAAAGTTGTTACAATCGTACCTATTCCAGGGTGATACTTTACCTTTTCTTCTTTTTTTTCTGCCATAACGACAACGTATACAGGTACCATTCTAATTAAATATGTTTCGTTGCCCTAGTTTTATAATGAAGAAAAAAAAAACGTACTAGAAGTTTCGATGTTCACGTATTATGTAAAATAATTGAAATATGTGATGTTTGTAGGTACCCCCTGCAGAAATTGAAGCTATTTTATTAACCCATCCGGCAGTTAAAGAAGCGGCTGTAGTACCAAAGCCAGACGAGAGAGCTGGGGAAGTCCCTATAGCATTTGTCGTAAAACAAGATGGTAAAAACGTAACAGAAAAAGAACTAGTCGACTTAGTAGCTGGTTAGTATACACCTATTGGATATGTTCGTTCGCTCTTTTGTTACTGTTACACAGATGGTTTACAAAAATAGCACTTGTACAATAACAAAATTATGCATACGCAAATGGCGGTAAAACATAAAAATAAATAGGTGAAAAAAGGCGAACAAACACACCAAATTATATTAAAAATATATTACTATAAGCACCGTAATCTCTCTTACAGAAAAAGTATCTATCCAGAAAAGATTATATGGAGGAGTTATTTTTACGAGTGAACTTCCAAAAAATAATACCGGAAAAATACTACGACGAAACCTAAAAGAAATAGCAAAAACCTATAGTATTTAGAAGAAATGTTTTTTTTTTTTTTATCAAAATAGCTTATTCTCCT